ACAACGCTTGGGCGTCGGAGAGGCCATCCGACGTCCGCAAGAGGAGCTTCATAGCACGACGACATTCGCGGTAGAAGGAGCACTCGACACGAGGTGTACGGCCGGCCTCCTCCTCGCACGAGTGCACACTTCTCAGGGATGGGAAATGTTTTCGGACATCTTCTTTCCAAAAGGTGCCCACCTCATCCAAACCGCGACACATTCGGTCTAGAAAGGTAATGCGAAGCATATATTGACGAATCTCAATGCTAGGCATACCCAGACCGCCCTCAGAGGGATGAAGGCAACAGATCTCGCGACATACCATATGGGCCTTGCCTCTTCACAAGAAAGAGAACAAGGCCTTGACTAATGACATTAGTCGGGCATACGGGTCTGGAAGCACAGAGAGTCGGTACAGGAGGATCGGATAGATGTGTGAAACACATACTTCCGCCCTTCCCTTCAGGGAAAGTCCCCTCCGAGACCACAGATTACCCGCGGCCTCGGCCTTCCCTTGCACCTCCGACCAATTCATTTCCAACTGGAGATCAGGACCGAACCAGACGCCGAGTATCTTGATCGGCCCATCCGTCCAGAGGAAAGGTCCGGGAAGAGAAACTCCCTTCCACGCACCCAACCGCAAGCCCACAGACTTATCGCGGTTGATCTTGGCCCCTGTCACCATCTCATACCCACTGATCTGCTTGCTGACTTCGTCAATCTCGGCTCTGCTCGACACAAGAACCGAAACGTCGTCAGCATAGGCAGAATACCTGGCCGAGGTGGAAGCACCAGGCAGCGAAATACCTCGTAGGACCGGATTCGCCTTTAACTTGCGAAGGAAAGGTTCCAACGCAAGAACGTAAAGCAGAGGCGAGAGCGGACAACCTTGACGAATGGAGCGAGACAATACGAAAGGCTTCGCTCTTACCCCATTCACTTTCACCAGCGCACCGGGGGTCGCATACAAAAGTAGGATCCAGGAGCGAAAGTCGGCTCCGAAACCGGCCGCCGAAAGGACAGCCTCCAGAAATCGATGGTCAACCCTATCGAAGGACTTGGACTGATCTAAATTGATCAGCGCGGCTTCACTGTCGACTTGTTCTAAGATCAAGCGTACCATATGAAGGTTATCCTGAATAGTCCTGCCCTTCACAGCACAAGTCTGTTCCGGGCCAAACAGACTCGACAGGACAAGCTGCAAACGGTTGGCTAAGATCTTCGCCAAAATCTTTCCGTCAGTGTTTAACATCGTTAAAGGGCGAAAGTTCCCTAACCCATCCCCACCGTCCTTGTCCTTACGCAGCAACTTGATGACACCCCTGGTGAAGCGTTAAGGTAAAGACCCCTGCCTCATCCAGTGATTGAACATCAGTTCCAGCAAAGGAACAAAAACGTGCGACAACCTCAAGTAAACTTCGTAGGAAAGACCATCTAATCCCGGAGACTTATCCAGGCCAACCTGCTTCAGCGCTCTGTTATGGGACACTCGCACCTAGCCACTTCAGCTGACTTGAAGGCCTTTTGATCAAGCATGATGTCAAAAGTCCATCCCCCGTTCAAATTGTCGGAGAGAGCCCCTAAAATTTGGCCGTACTGCATAAAAAATGCAGCCAGGAGCTCTCCCGAAATTTGAGGAGGAACCACAAAAAACGGCCACCCTGGTCCGCCTGTGGCCTTCATACTCCGTTCTTAATATCAGATCTTTCGTGATGAGTTCCTTTTTTGCCATGGCCAGGCAATCTTCCGGTGTGGGTAGCAGAATGTCCCACATGAAGAAACCCGTACCCTTTATAACTCTTTGGGGTTTTATCCCCAGGGACAAAAGTGATTTGATCACAGTGTCTTTTGTGGAGCAACAAATCTTACGAGTTTTCTTGTCCACCACAAAAACGGTCACCATTCTCTTTGCGAACATATCGAGCTCCTGGACAACTTCGACGAACCCATCTTTGTTAACAAGATGGGCGTAGCCTTTCGCCTTATCCAGGAAATCCGCCATGTTCAAAATACAACTAGGGGGGGACTTCCAGCAGGAGGGCAAATCCTCGGCCGTCTTACTTTGTGCCTCCTTTGGAACCTCGTCACTTCTTGTAATATCTCCCTTCTTGGAGATACTAAGTTGAGCAGATTTTGGGCTACCATCAGCCCGCTTTTTTGTCGTTTTTTCAGGCGGGTCGGCATTAGCAGCCTTCCCAAAGAGGTCTTTCTTTACATTCGACCGACCTTTTTCGTCGGCCATGTTGTCAAAGCGTGGAGACTACCACTAGCGGATCTATCAAAATTTTTCCACAGACACACATGTATATATACACATACATAGACACATATATACATATACACACATATATACATATACACACATATACACATACACACAAATATATACATATACATATATACACCCTGTGACGTAGGCACGATTTCATTAACCACATAGGCGTAAGGCTAAAAAGCACCCCAAAGTAAAATCTCAAATTCTAGTCGAAAATTAGTTAGATTATAAAAGAAAAATAAATAAATAAATAAAAATAGATAAAATCCAATGCTTTCAACTTGCGAGCGAATATGTTCCATGATCAGCCATACCCTCCTCTTCTCTTCACAAATTTTTTCCTCTTTACCTACTTTCCACCCACAAGCCAAGGGTCCGTGAACTTTGAAGTGACCTGTTTGCTCAATTCTGGGAATTTTACTAAACGTTTTTAATAATTTGGCACGCTCAAATTACCGTGCTAATAACAAATATGGCGTCAGTTTGTTTAACTTGCGCAGATCAGTACAAAAATTTCAGTGATTGCACAGGTTAGTGTTGCCAACATTGTGTGAAAATTTTGTGTGAATTGATTGGACGGTTTTTGAAATATTAGAAAAAAATTTATCTTGATAATAATTTGGCATTATGAAGTCTTCAAAAAAACAAATTGTAGTTCAGTGTGACGCATTTACATATGAAACATCCCGTTGAAAATAAATAAGTAAAATAAAATAAAACAAAATTATCCAGACACTTAACAGCATACTATGGTGCCAAAATCTATCTTTCTCTGCGAATGAACAGACGATGCGCGTACAAGAAAGACATCATTCGCTTTGAAATAAACACCCCACCCTACCTCAGATTGACCTCTCCCTGAAGGAGACTGATATGTGGATAAAAATTAACTCTTAGGCCCCCTTATAAAAAATGGTCGCCCCAGCCGTTTCCATAGTAACGAACGAACAAGGATACGTAAATTCCAAAATTGGTTATTCGCTTGAGGATGAAATAGGGCTGGTGACTTTAATTTAATTTAATTTTAATAATTATATTGATGGTTTCAGCTCTCGTTTTTGAAACATGAGAACTCTTATGTAGCAAAGGAATCATATTTTTAAAAAGATAATTATATATATATATATATATATATATATATATATATATATATATATATATATATATGAGAAAAAAAGTGATGGGTTTCTTATTTATTAATCTGACAGATATATTATTTAAAATTAATTTTAGTGGGTACTCGTATTTCAGTAAATGGACCGTTTATTTATTAAACAATATTTTATTTATTTTCGTCTACCTGCTTGAATATCCGAGAAATTTTATTAGACCAAAAAATGCGCTTTTCGGTAGGATTCGAACCTGCGTTCCTCTAGGAGAAACATTCATTATATCTAATGTAATTTAAGCCCTCTTGGACATATCTGCTCAGTTTTGTATCCTAACGTAAACAAAGCAATTTCTAGAGAGAGAGGGATGAATTTTTTAATTTATTAATCCAATAGATTTTATAACTTAAACGTTATTTTTAGTGGATACTTGTGTTTGAGTAAACGTTCCGTTTATTTATTAGACGGTATATTTATTTATTTCCGTCTACCGGTTTGAATTAGAGAAAAATTTGCACTCTCCAAATTGTTTGCTATTTTCTTTTAATGGATAGCATAATCTCATTTTTGTAATCTGAATATGGGATTCTAATGTTTTTTATTCTAATTTTGGTTGTCTCCTTCATGCAATGCATCAGCTTTTTGATTTTTCTTAATGTCTATCCAGCCAAACTTATTATTTTACAGGATTTTTTTTTTTATCAAATAGTGACATGTTTCTAGTATTTTATGTATGTACGGGTGGTTTGAATTTTTTCATCAATTTCTGTTAGTCTGAATAGGAAAATATTATGAATTTTCTGTATTCTGAGTTTTTGATCATTTCAAGTACCATTTTTATGGCTGTATATGGATGCATAGTTTGGCAGTCTAATTTGTTTGTAGAATTGTTTGATTGCAGCACCTGTTCTGTTCAGTATTGTTTTATCCATCTGTATAAAATGCTTTATAATCACTATTTATCTTTCAGTTCTTCATATTTGTTTTGACTCATGTACTTGTTGGTTGTTTTTTGTTGTCGTTGTGTCTATGTGAGGTTCAGAAATTTCCCATGAAGTTATTTTATTTATTGTGAATGGTGTTAGGTTATCAAGGCTTTTATTCACTTGTTTTATCGTGAAAATATTGACATATGATAAAATCTAACACATAGTATTTTGTGAATATACAATATGATCCAAATAAATTATTATTTTTTACATTATTATTTTTTCACATGATTCAAATATTTTGGAGTGGGTGGAGAATTTAAAACTGTTAAAAAAGTAACTGATCTAAAAAGTTTATGTACAAATTGAAGATATCTTCTGTAAAATTATTTCTTATTCTTTATAAATATTTTTGTTTGTGTAGAATATTGGACAACGGTGGGCATTTAATAAAAGTGACGAATTATTATTTTATCGTTGAGCAAGTCAATAAATGAAAAACATTAAGCCGACTAGTAATGATCTTAATAATTATCTTAGTAATCGAGCGTAGAATGATACATGAGGAGACAGCTGGTAATAAATAAAGATTTAGAAGTGGTACATTTTGATATATGTTAGGAAATGAAAGCGTTAGACAGTTTTATATACATAAAGAAATCTATAGACATGCTATAACAGATCTTCATTTTGCTTCTTTTGTAGGACTTTCCATTGACCAATGTAGTAATTGTATCCAAACCATCAGCTATTAAATACATGGATGATATCCGAGCACTACTTTTGAGTCACATGGTCCCAGGTGTTATAAGGTCAAGCAACATGTACAATAACCAACTTGTACCCACAGGAAGTCCATTCAAATCATCAATAAGAATTAATTTTTACAATCATCCAGTGAAGGTGAGGCTAAAGAAGAAATATACAATTATTTGTGAAAATATTGTTGAGAATGCAAAAACAAGTTAAAATAGAAGCGCATCGATATATAAATATATTTTACTGTTATATAATTGCAAATTGCTTTTTTTATGAACAGAGTAAAATTTTAATAAATCTTGTTAAATTTACTTATTAGATTTAATTTAGTATAATTTTGATATGTGTTTAAGCATACTTATACATATTCTTCATACAACACTAATAATTTAATTATTGTCTGAAAATGAAATCGACAAATGGAATGATTACACTGATCAGCACCAAATTTAGTGTCTAAATTTTTTCTCTGATTTAGGGCAATTTTGACATGCTGACGTCCAAAAACCACATTGGTTTTGCTCAATCAGGTCAAAGTTTTGAGCTATGGCCACATGTTTTTTTACATTTTCATGAACATTAAAATATCGAAATATGCACAATAAAACTATTATTCTAATTATAAACTTATTAGTTTTAACCGATCATAATTATTTTCATCCAAAAATAGCTACATGAATAATAAAACACACCTCCAAAATATTTATAGACAAATAACACGCAATAAAGTCTCAAAACACCCTAATTAATTAAAATGTACACTACAAAACTATAGAATTCAAATCAGAATGGTTGTTTTATTAGTCATTATAATTTAGGTCTACTGCCAAAATATCGCGTGGAAGTAGCAATAAGCATACCACAAGCCAATTAGGAATAAGTAAAATTCTATAATTCCGCAGCCAATTTATTAGAAATAACGGTATAAAAATCACAATGTTTGACCTCAACAACAGAATCCCTCAGATTCCACTAAAGGCCATGTCACTCTAACTGCTGATATGGAAAACCTCATTCGCTTCCACACACACTATCAAGAAATGACTCAGCAACTTGGTGACCAGGATAAAACTTGGGTGCCACATATGGCATGTAAGACATGTGCCGAGTATCTGTGTCGATGGACCAAGGGCAAGAAGAGTTGTCTGAAATTTTGAATACCCATGAAGGGAGCCAACAAACCATGACACTGACTGCTACTTCTATGCTATTGATGTGACTGGGACCAACAGAAAGAACCGGAACAGCATCAAGTATCCTGATTTTCAATCAGCACGTCGTCGTCCTGTAGCTCATTCTGATGAAATTCCAATACCTGTCTTTGGAGAACTTCTTGACATTAGTGAGAAAGATTTCTCCAGAGTTCAAGAAAATGATGATGATGAACGAGAAGAAGAAGAAGAAGAAGAAGAAGAAGAAGAAGTGCCACATCCTCTTCCCAAAAGGAACTAAATGATCTAGTTCGCAATCTCAGCCTGTCAAAGTCCGTTGCCGAACTGTTGGTATCCAGATTGAATGAAAAAACCTCCTCTCTCGCTTCACCTACTACCGAAACAGGCATCAAGAGTACCTCCATTTTTTTTCTCTGAAGAAAAGGACTTGGTGTACTATACAGATATTGTGCAGCTTCTGCATGAAATTGGAGTGCCACAGTACAAACCAAAAGATTGGAGACTGATCATTGACAGCAAGAAGCGATCACTGAAAAATGTTCTGCTGCACAATGGCAACTAGTTTTCCTCTGTACCCCTTACTCACTCGACTACATTGAAGGAGAGATATGAAGCAGAGAAGTATGTGCTGGAGAAAATTCTTTATGATCAACATGAATGGTTTATTTGTGTTGACCCGAAGATGGTGAACTTTTTGTTGGGACAACAGTCCGGGTTCACCAAGTACCCATGCTTTCTCTGCATGTGGGATAGTAGGAACAGTGCTCAGCATTACATGAAAAAGGACTGGCCTGTTTGGGAGAACAACGAACATCATTTATAAGCCTCTATGGACAAAGACAGGATACTTTTCAAACTCAGCTTGATCAAGCAGTTCCCCAAAGCTCTGAACAAGGATGGTGGCTGCTTCACTTACTTGTATCAGGCTTTTCCAGGATTGTCGATGGAGAAGTTGAAAGATACCATTTTTGACGGTCCTCAAAACCGTCAGCTCATCAGATATCCAGAGTTTGAAAACTCAATGTACGAAATGGAACTGGAACCATAGAAAGCTTTTGTTCTGGTCGTGAAGAACTTTCTTGGTAAAAACAAGGCCAGGAACTATGCAGAACTTGTCATCAATATGCTGATTGCTTTCAGAAACCAACATGCAACATGAGAATCAAAATGCATTATTTATTCTCACATATGAATCAGTTTCCTAAGAATCTGGAATCAGTGAGGATGAACAGTGGGGAGAGATTCCATCATGACATGAAAGAGACAGAGACCCGGTATCAGAGACGTTGGGATGCCGTCATGATGGCTGATTACTGCTAGACCTTGAAGAGAGACACCGCTGCCGCTGATCATTCTAAGGGTTCGAATAAACGGAATTTCATGCCCTGAATTTTGAACAATGATAATGTAACATGCAATTTACGTGTACTTACATTTATCAATGTATACTATTTAATTTCTTGTAATCGATGTTTGTAACATTTAATTAATAAATTGTATTAGAAAACAAACTTATTACGTATGAGAAATATTAAAAAAATTCAATCAATAATGTCACAAAAATGTAATAGTTTTAGTCAGAAGATCGGATTTTTAATAACTCAACTTAGCACAAAAACATAACTGGGAGAAACGGAGGTCATTCTTGGATTCAGAGTTAAATAATTGTCCTAAATCATTTGGAAAAACATAGACAACTTAAAAAATGTTTTTTGTTGCCCAGTGATTAGTGTTAAATCTGTTGTGATTAAAAAAGAAAAAAAGCCTAACTTTTAACTGACTGTTATAAAAGGAAAATAATGAACAAATGGAAGAAATATGAAAGAATTTGAATAAAAGACAACAGAAACAAAGGAATAGATTCTTAATTTAAAGATTTCTTATTAATTTAATTTTTTATTTTTATAATTAAGTTAAAATTTAAAAATAAAATATATTTTAAACGCTAAAGCTAACAATGAACTTGCAATCCCAGTTTGTTAGAAAATCTACGTTGCACAGAATATATGCTCAAGTACTTAAATTATCCTGAATTCATCCTTTACAATAAAGAAATGCATTCGTCACCGTATGTACCTTGCTAATTTTCAGATGATGACAGCCAATTGTATAAAAGTAACATCACCCAATCTACAAGCAACGAATGGAGTTGTCTACATTGTTGAAAAAATCATCAATCCTGGATCTGATTCTCTTCTTGATCAAATTACTAGTCATCCAGAACTCTCCTTCCTTAAACGAGGTAAAATTACTATTTATTTCTATTTTAGTGTCTAGTTCAGTTATGTCCAAGACGTTATGGATTAAAATGAACTCAATAATTCAGGTTATTTTCTGATAACAATTGTAATTAAAATATTACTTTTATCCTTAAATGAAAATCATCAAGTCATCAATATAAACATATCGATGGATTTCTTGTTTTAGAATATAATTTTCTAAAATGGTCATGGACAACTATTTAATTGCTTTTTATTTACTCTTCGAATTCAAGTCACTCATATTGAGTACAGAATGATATATAGTTTTGTTTATTTATTGAATTACTTCAATTGTTTTCACATCATTCTTGTGAAAGATACGTTTGTTCTGTTGGAACATTAATCAGATTTTTTTCAGGTAGAACACTATTCTGGTTGTTAAAAATTATTTTAATTGCTGATCAAAGATTACTCATTTTGCTTTTAGATCAGTATGTTTGCTATTCATCAACAAAGCGAGAAAGACATTTACAAAAGAAAGGCTGTTGTTAATATTGTAGTGGACCCCCTCGAGGGAGTGTGATATAATATGGCCTGTACGCCCTAATAAGTATGAGTCACGAGTGGCCCACTAAAATTATTGAAAGAAAAGACGTGAATCTGATAGTTCAACAAGAGGGCAACAAACGACAAACTTAAAATTAATACAAAATTTATTTACATCATATACAAAAGTAGTGTTTCAATTGAAGGAACATGAACAAACAATGAATAGTAAATAAATTTAAGTAAATGAAGGGATACTGACTGGCTAGAAGATCGAGATAATATAGCTGTGACTAAATCAGAGTTCAGGTAAGTTATTGGTATGAAAAAGCAAAGTTCGAAAGTTCAAATGTCCAGCGAAAGTTGCTGGTTAAGTTCAATGATTAACGTTCTGTAGTATTTAACCCAAGTGTATGGAAATAGGTTGGTTGAAGTCTGGACGATATGCCTGCAGCATCTTCCTAAACCAGGTGAGTTAGGGTGACAGGAAGCGCCGGAAGCTGATAGTTGAAGCAAGGCTGAAATAGCTGTCCTGTCCAGTGCTGGCGTTGATGAAATCCATGATGAAGTGGTAGAAAAATATTAGCCAATGTTACGTCAATGTTTGGGTAGTTTGCTGGTGAAGTCCATTGATGAACTTTCTGTAGTATTTAATTGAAGTGTACGGAATAAGTTGGTTGAAATCTGGACGATATGTATGCAGTAATTTCCTAAACCAGGTTGACAGGAAAGCAGGAAGCAGAGACCTATGCATAGCCGGAAGTTCGGGGCTGTTGTAAGCAGGTCCAATAACGCCAATCAACCAGGTGAGTAAGTTTTGAGGTAAGAACACAAAAAATGGTCTCTCCATGTGTCGCCAGAAGTAGAGAGCTGTGCAAGTCTAGAAAAGCCTGCAGTAAGGGGGGACTGTTGCAGCCATTGTATGAGCAGGTTTAGTAATGTTAGTAGCAGTAGCGGCCGTTGCAAATACTGGAACAAAAGCCGGACGTAGAAAGCAGATGTGGCCGGAAGTATGCACAGATCTTAAAGTAAAGTAAGAAACGCCGGAAGCTAAGGGGCTGTGGTAACCGAAAATTACAAAGACCAGTAATAGTGGAAGAGTGTGGTAGCCGGCAAGAGTGTGGGAAGTAAGACTGGATAGAAAAGCCAAAGTAGCCTCCAGTTGGCAGAACAAAAATAAATGGGCATGTAACTCAATACATACCCCCTCCCCCGGATAAAAAAAGACCAGGGTACCTGCATTTTGCCATCCTCCTCTAGTGAGTGTATATAGCAAAGGTGTATAATAACATAAACTGGACTTGCTATGCATTCAAAATCTAAAAGAAAGAAATCCAGAGTTGCTACGAAATATAAATGGTATTATACAATGTTTCCTAAGAATATGTAGATTAAGTCAGTAATATTCAACCAACTAAAGAGAAAATAGGTTGATTATAAATCTAAATAAACTTGTTAACTGGATAGAAGAAAGTGGGCTGACGCAATAAAGAAAAAGGGCAAGGTCATGAAGATATATAGCATCTGCCCTTCATCACATGAATGGAGTAGTGAAAGGTCTATGATAATACCTACCACTATATAGCATTACTGAATTTGCTAAAGGAAGTATAAAAGCTTAGAATAATCATTGACATCAGCAAATTTCAAGTAATATTCAGTCTTGTAGATTGCTTTTTAAATTCAGTTGTCATTTTCTTTCAGTAATTGGCAAAGTTGGTTTTGTTCAGATGTTCAATGAAGAAGGTCAAATGACTGTCTTCGCTCCAACAAACGCCGCTTTTAAAAAACTTGACAAAAAAATTTTGGATAAATTGACAAATGAAAGAGACGAATGTGCACAAAGTAAGTATCTATGATGGTATCTCATTAACACTTATTTCATTCACTAATCCTGTGTACCCCATTTACCCTATACTTTTAGCACATCCACCTCAGGGTCCCCAAGAAGAAATAGTGAAAAATTAATCTTTAACAAATATTGATTTTGTGCACCTAATATTGTTTTTCTATATTTTTTACAGAAATAAAATCATTTCAGATCTAAAGCTGTCATAACTTGTTTTCCATGCTCTATTGCAAGTTCTGCGCTTGTGATATCAGTCAAACCAACAATTACTGATTGCTTAAAACAAAACCCTTCACAATATGCGCATCTGTAAACTGTCTTACAATGTCTTTGTCTTTCTGAGGTTCATTATTTTTGCCATTAGTCAGTCCTTCTCAATGATTATTGCTCAATGCTGTCTCCGCCCATCCGACATCATGGTGTGCATCATGTACAGTTTTATTTTCGCCCTCCAGATGATTCCACCAGTAATGAGAGAGTATACGAGGAGATACAGAAAAAATCTCTGTCCAAGAAGCGAATGCCTGAAAAACATGAAACATATATGCTATTCCACTTAACCACCCGAAGTTCAACATGCTCTGCACAATGTTACTCAAGTTTCTTTAACATTCCCAATGTATTTTTGTTTTTGTCTGTAAAATACAGCTTTGCTGTTTCTTTTGCCACTTACATTTCAGAATCAATCAAAAATTTTCACCCATTGAAGAGAAGCGTGAAATCTTTTTTTCAAGAACATATACACTTGTCATCCTTGTAACTAAGTTTCTGGGAAGCATTATACTATCGGTTTGGTTAGCAGGTTGTTTCTATTGGCATAATTTTCTCACCACTAGGAACCCTGTAATGTTTTAAGTTCTTGAAGCCAGTGGCTGAATATTGAACGAGTATGGTAAAATTTATTTTTTCTGACATGGTGTTCTGGTGATGCGTTGGCCTTGTCTGAATGTTATATATATATATATATATATATATATATATATATATATATATTGTGTGTGTGTATTTAGGCAGCATTTTTTCATTGATGCATGTTTCATTAAAGATTTCCAAGCAACGACAAAAATCGTGCTTACGAGACGCTGGAAGCGAAAATCTCACTGCAGCTCATGACATCACACATGATCACGTGAGAGTGAAAACGAGAAGTGTTAAGCATGGGAAGCCGTTGGTATAAACCAATGGCTTCTGTTATGCGTCTCGTATGCACAAGTTTGTGGTTGCTTGGAAATCTTACATGCAAACAAAAAACGGGCTAACAGGCCATGTCCGTGTATTGTTTAATATATTGTAATGTTATTGGCATCTTTGATGATGTAAGCCGAAAGCTTAGATAGGATTAAAAAACATGTATCAATATGTTGATTTTCTTTCGTCTTTCAATGATAATATTATTAAGCTTATCAGATGATATGAAAAGAATTTGCATAAAATAAATAGACACAACTTGTCTATATTATTTAATGAAACAGGCATCAATATATATATATATATATATATATATATATATACATATATATATATATATATATATATATATATATATATATATATATATATATATATATATATATATATATTAAACTTCTAAATAATAATAATCTATTAAATAATAGACACGAATTAACGGTTTTTGTAGGCATCATCAGATTTTTGGTTTCAAATAAAAAAAAAAAATTATATAACTTGTTTAACAAATAGCCCAATCATCAGATTCATAGTAGAAATTATTAACTACAAACTTGCATACAACATAACACCCTTCATAATCCATAGCCCGAATTAGTAGTTTACCTTACATAAAAGATAACCCTTTATGAAGTCGTCAAAAAACAAACGTTACGAAAGTTTTTCTTTTTATATGCACAATTCCCTTTCATAATAAAATAAAATAAATAAATAAATAAATCTCCATAGACAAGCCAACTTGACGAAAGCTTAATACATCGTTTCATTTTTGACACCCTCACCTTCCCCCGACTTGACACCTTGAAAGTATCTCTATACCGCTACTTATCATTAACACCCTACACTCGCCTACCCATTTTAGACAATTCGCCCTAGCTGTTACCATGGTGATTTTGATTTCAATTCTTAAAACAAGTAAATTTCAGATATACGTTATTCCAACAAAAATTTCGCTTGAAGATGGAACGGAGCCCTTTTTAATTTCAACCTAATTTAATTTAAAGGATTATTGCTTATCTTTTGGTAGCAACAACTTTTATTGAATGCAGAACATAGAATCAGATAACAGTGATTCTTGAGTCATTTGGAATCAACTTTAGTCAAAACATTACAGGCATTTTTGACTAATTGAGAAGCTCTTCACTTGATAAAATAAACTGAAGATCAGAATCAGAAGTTGAATAGTGATCATCTGTAAACAGCAATACCAGTATCTGCAGTTTTAAGAAAGCAAACTGACGATTAGGATGTATTTTCTTCATGATCCAAGCTACATCTTAAAAAAAGACATCATTATAATATAATTATAAATGTTAGTAGTTGAATAACATTTTAGTCTATCACATTGATGTTAGTTAGATAGAATTCTACTTGTTGCCTTTTTATTGAAGTAAATTAAATTTGTTATGATCAATATTGCAAAAAGCAACATGAATTAATTTGGCGAATAAATAATTTCTCAGACAAAGGATTTTATGGGGCTACAAGGTTATCGGTTATTGATGAGTACGACAATGTCTGTTCCCAATGTCTGTTCCCATTGGTATATTTGGTTTGGGTGTATATTGGTCTTGTGTCATGATTATGCACAAAGTATTGAAAAATACAGAATAAATATTTATATAACACAGAAGGATAAGGTGAAAATTAAAGAATTCGGTTGGAAGTAAATATATGTATGCATATATGTATCCAAATGTAGGTGCTGCTGCCTGACCATGTGGTGAAGTAAGGTATGTTTGTTTTCAGTGTAGCATGGAATGTTTAACTGTGTAAGATCGCCAGCTAGTCGGGCAAATATCGTATTGCGTCTCTGGATATATTATGATGACCATCAGAGAATGGACAAAATTAATTTGTTGACTCTAAGTTTAGTTGATTTTCCATCTGCTTGTTAATTTTCCATCTACAGATAGGCTTTGGAATCATATTTTTGGAGATGTTGAAATTTTGGCCTCCTTATTATTATTTGTTTATTTCTTTTCTTACATCCTGGCTGTGAAAGCTTTTTGAATGGATGGAAAATAAATCTTACAAAATTTGTTTCTAATGTCTTTCATTTGTTATGCTTTTTTCTCACGAATTATCTTTAGCTGTATTCATGTTGAATTAAAACTAACGAAAGACTTTGACAAGATATCCTTGTTTTGGTGTGCCGGTAACATGTCCTCTTCGCTTTGCGTGTATTTTACCTTTTAATTGCTTTAATTACAGTTCATATTCAGTTTTATATTTCTGTATAGCAGTTAAGAGAATATTCCAATGTTCTTTTCTCAATCTTTTAGATTATTTTAAAAAACAACAAGGAATATGGCACTTTACACAATTAAAACAGTACTTTCAATTGTTAGGATTCGAATAAATTTTTATAATTAAATAAATTATATTTTGAATGAAGTTTTAGAATCTGTATTGTATCAGTTTCGCAAATTCTAAATGATTTTCTTACAACTTAATTTTTTATAGGAAGTTATTACAAAAACAAAATACAGCAGGATGGGGAGTTGGAATATATACTATTATACTAATTATACATAAATATAACTTTAACCTCCGATTAACCATATCATCAAAACTAATGGCATTAACAATGAAATAATAAAAATTTTGACTTAGTTGTGTACCTTGATCTCGAATTTGCTAAACGCATTTCCATCAGTAGCATGCTGTTATACGATAATGTATTCAGCACCCTTGGGCAAAATTTTGTTTTGTCTGCAAGATTTTAATCTGAAAATTGAAGATTGTAAACTCTAAATAGAAAGAAATTTTAAAAATCTTTTTAGGTTTTTAAAAGTTTTCTAAATGTAGGCTTTAAAATCTTAATTTTTTAGATTAAAATCTAAAAAGTGTTGTGGTGTCCTCCCTCTAAAGAGTCTATGTTGGACTTTTCCGCCTACTATAAGATTAGTAGGAGAGAAGGCCTTGGGGAAACAGTCGAATGAATTGAACGCTGGGTCAACCGACACACACTCACTAGTCGTGTAATACTTTTCTGTTGTACTTACTGTTTAATATATGATATATCTGCAACATTTGTTTTGTTATTTCTTTAACCATTTACTTGGTCACAACATCTTGGTGACGAAGGATTCAAAGAAACGGACTTCATGTTAAATCATGTGTCTACAACAGTGGTGAAGAAAGGAATTCTAATTAAACTCTACGACAAAAGGGTATTCAGTGTTAATTACAACACTGACAGTAAAAAAAAAAAAAGAAGAAAAGAAACTCTTCAAAACAATAGGATTTCTACAAGTTCAATTCAGTGGTTGGGAAGAAGGTTGGTGAAACTTGTTATTTTTTCCATTCCAACAAGTCAGTAAAAGAACTGAACAAGTCAAACAGACTTATGTTGCTTAAGAGAGTATAGAGAAAAAAATTTCCCCCTCTCATTTCTTAATTTTATGTACCACAGCAGTAAAATGGACGAATTTAAAAGTGCTATGCTAGAGTTGATGAAACATCAACAGGAACAGCAACTACTGTTGGAACAGAAATATCAAGAAAGACAAGAGAAATTCAAATGAGAACAAGCAGAAGACCAGAAGAAACTTGAGGAATTCCACCTAGGAATTAAGGTTAGACAACAGAAACTGGAAGGAATGCTCATTAAAACACAGAATAAGCAAAGGCACTTGTATAATATATCCATCAAAAGCCATAATGAGGACAGCGAAAACATGTTCTCTCAAAATGCTATATGGAATGCTATTGAAAACTTCACGTTTGCATCTGAAGAAGAAATAACCTTCACTTCGTAGTTTAAACGTTACGAGGACTTATACAATACGGATTGTGCAAGTTG